GCCTGAGCATACGTTGAATAGTCTCCATGTCCATGAGCTGAAAAAAAAAGAATGTGGGCAACCACACTGGCTGCCTGTAGTGGCGACCCGCGACCATGGAGATATAAACAGCTTTTTATAAGGTAAAAATAATAAAACAAGGTCTTTGTCTGCAATGATTAGACATGTTTTTATTATTGTCATTAGTGATTATCTACACACTGTGCCTTTAAACAATCATGCGCATAAAATTAAAAAATAAAAACTAGAGAAATTGCATTTCCTGCGAAAATGCTAGTGTGAAAGCCTGTTGCTGAAAACTTTAGCTGAAAGCTGCTGAAGAAGCTGAAATTAAGCTGAACATGTTTAATAGCAAAAGTAGTATTGTTGGTTAAATTTGAAAAGCTGAAAGAAGCAAAAAAAATTTTTTTTTGCAGAAAATCCGTAAAATGGAGCAAAAATATAGCTGAATTAGCATAAAAAGCTAAAGGCTAAAATAGCTGAACATAACAGAAAGCAGCTGTAAGAAGCATAAACAACTCGTATTACCAGAAAGAAGAACAAAAAATTACAAAAGCAGAATAGTAGAAGGAAGAAGGATTTTAGCTGCAATGTCTGAAAAAAGCTAAAACTAGCAAGAAAGTAGCTAAAATTGTCACAAATGTAAAAGAATCAGAACCAGAATATGAAGTTTAAGTTTCTGTAAAGATTTAGAAACATTATGAAGAAATTTGAGGATGTTGAATAAAGCTCCATTCATTTCCAATGGGACAAAAAGTAGCCGAAATAGCTTTGGCCACAATTGTTGAATTTTTTTGATGCTTCAGTGTTATAGAGCATGCTCTCAGCTACCAGCACATAAGTTTTCATGTCAGTATCTCAAACAATGGCTGGGTAAAATGTCTTTAACACTAGCTTTGGCAGCCATCTTGGATTCTTATTTCGGCTGCTATTTATGATAGAGTAAGTATCAGGTACCTATATATTAATTTTTAGCTCATTGTTTCAACAATCGGCCAAATTCAGGTAATTTGCTCTAACTTTAGTTAATAACAGCTAAAATTTAGCTGAATTTGTAGAAAATAGCTGAATAAGAAGGAAGCTGTAAGAAGCTTAAGTAGTACAAATTAGCAGAAGAAAGTACAACGAAGCAGAAAAAGCAGAAGAATAGCAGAAAGAATTAGAATTTTAGCTAATATAGCAGCAAAAGGTTAAAGTTAGCATAAAAATAAGCTAAAGTTAGCAGACCCAAGTTGAGAGTAGCACCCAGATGGTGAAATGAGCAGGAAAAAAACATAAAACTACTAAAACGTGATCATTTGAAGTAAAATAGGTAAAACAGCTGAAGTTTTCAGTAAAACAGCTAAAAAGTAAATGGAAACCATTTAATTAGCATAAGGATGCATAAGAAGCACAAGTTTGCTGAATTTTGCACAATTAAGTTGAAACAGCTCCAAAAAATGAGCAATTATCTTAGAAAGCTAACTTTGGCTAATAGCTAAAATTTGGCTAAGTTTGTAGCAAATAGCTGAATATAGAAGAAAGCAACTGTAAGAAGCATAAATAGCACAAAATAGCAGAAAAAAGTTTAACAACGCCGAAAAAAGCAGAAGAATAGCATAAATAACATTTTAGCTAATATAGCAGCAAAAAGCTAAAGTTAGCAGACCCAAGTTGAGAGTAGCACCCAGATGGTGAAATGGANTGACACCATGTCATACAGTGTTGACACCACATCATACAGTGTTGACACCACATCATACAGTGTTGACACGACATCATACAGTGTTGTAGAGCACCAACTCCACACAAACCTCAGCACCTCACTCTGAAACAAAACATTGTTTCAAATGACATCAAAAATGCTCTCAGTAACTCAACAAAGATGCAACAAACCCAGTGCAGTTATGGTGAAATAAATCCTTATTTGTTACAATATTATTGTCTATCTAAGGAAACCAGTGTCAAAATACTTAGCTTGAATTTAAAGTGCCTGTGACGAGCATATTCTTCAAATACAAAAAGTAAACATCTTTATATTTAAGAAAGTTGGAATAATACACTCAATTTAATCCAGTTTGTCCCATAACTGACATATTTTCTTTTGAATTTGGCTCAGCCAAAGTGAAACAGGAAGTGACATCACAGGGGAACTCTTTAACAAAGAGAACTCTCTGGTCTTTGTTTATTGAAACATTATTATTTGAACTCTGACTCTTCTTCTTTCTGATAGTGAGTCATAATAATGTAAAGAAACATCAGATTCTTCTCTACAGTCTGGGTTGTTAGACATTTTAACAATACTCTGTTCACATGCAGACATTCCCCTTTGACATCACTTCCTGTTACTTCGCAGATAAATATCTCAACAACTGTTCATCTCAGCGACGTGAAATTTATTGTGCAATATTTTATCAATATCCTCTTTCTAAAAATGCATTCATATGTATAACAAAAACTTGACGTCACAGGCACTTTAAGTCATGAAGTTAAATATGAAAAAATTAAAAGAAACTGAGAAGTGGTGTGTGCATGTCTTCAGCTCATTAAAGGTAGTTCTGTGTCCCCACCTTCTGCTTAATTCTAACATCAGATCTCTTCAGGTCCGTCTTCAGGATCTTGGTCCATTTAATCTGGACTTTTGGACCAAACGTCTGCAGGTCCTTCAGGTTGTATGGTCCTTCTTATGTCCAACAAACTTTAAGACAAACAAGCTCTTCTCAGCTGGACTGAGGTCATGATGTATGATGATGATTAAAGTAAAATTTTCTTACTCCACTGGCAGAAATTATTCACTTAATTTGAGTTAAATTTTCAGACTAACAAGACATATAATCTTACACATTCTGAAAACAAGATGATTATTCTTACACAATCAGTTCTTGTTTAGTAAATCAGTCTGAAAACAAGATCAAAAAGACTTTTTGGCTGATATAAAGTTTTAAAACTTGGTTAGGTGGACATTTTTTTGCAGTGTAACTTCATAATCTGAAGTATATTTGGAGAAATATTTCTTCAAATCAAACTAAATRATTTGACTCTGGCTTCCTGAAGGCTCTGTGACACTATAACGTTTTAGACAACTTGTGAAAAGGTTATATTCTGTCTAATGGTCAACATTACAGCATGGACACATCCAAAAGAGGCTTCTAGCAGATTTTTTTGTTTTTATTCCRTCTTCATTGTTGCACAAAATGTTCAAAGTTTGTGTGAAATGTCAAAGTGTGACACTTTGTTATTCTTCTGTTATTTGGTCTAAATTGACAGTGACTGGTCAACTTCTTCCATGAAGCTGTTTTATCTTGTTATTGCTGGAAATAACTTTAAATTTATTTCTAGAGTTTTCAGGATGAAACTACACAAATGTCAGTTCAACACACAAAAATATAAACTTTAATTTTACAGGCTRTATTTGTACAGGTCAACATGCTGACTATGTTATCGTGCTTCTAACTTCACTCAGAGCTGTGTAACATTAAAATGTAAAATGCACATTTTTTTACTTGTTTTTTTAACTTCTACTCTGAATAAATGTGTAAAAAGATATTTATTTTATTTTTTATCTCAAAGCTACAYGTTCCAGACCGTTTCAGATTGATGCAGATAAATTCACAGAATGAATGAGTGAACTGGTGTCAGACGGTTTTATGGGTTTGATTCCAAACAGGAAGTGATGAAGAGCAGAGTGGATGTCGTCATCATCAGTAACTCTGTATGCTGTACTTCAGAGGGGCACATCTAAATGTATATGTGTTAAAACTATATATAAATATACTGTATATGTTTCTCTGGGGGGTTGTCTCATCTGTAAATAAAATTAGATGCATCGATGTGTGTACAGGGTGGGTTTTTGTCTCTGGTGTGAAGAACTGACCATGAAATGTCTTCAGTTATTGAAACCTGACCTTCMCTTCAGTTTGTATTAGCTTTATTAGGCTCTACATCTAACCAACACATAAATTATACCTCAGTCCAGCTGTGATTTTAGGTCAAACACATCTAAAGTTTAACTCAGCAGGCCTTAAAAATAACCCATCATCAGGAACCTAAAGCTTAGACCAGACGTTCTGGTCCTGGAGGGTCTTAGTCCTGCAGGTTCGACCTGTTTCTCTGCTCCTACACTTCATTCAGTCACTGAATGACCTCTTCATAATAATAATAAAAATTTTGATGTAATAAATGGTGACATATTCCAAAGAACCACTAACAGTAACCTCTGATTCATTTCATGACGCATTAACTGTAAAAAAAAAAAAAAAGTATAATTTGAACTTTTACTTTGAATCAGGCTTTTGTTTTGAAGGCGAGTGGACTCTGCTGAGAGGTGTCCTGATGCATCTCAGAAATCCAGGTAGAAAATCAAAAGAAAAAATCAGTAGGTCTGGATGGTTCTTCTTTAGTGAAACGTTTCATCTCCTCCAAGAGACTTCTTCAGTCTGATGAGTTTCAGGTGAACTCAGCCTTATAAGCTCCGCCTCCACATGGACAAACAGGTTAGTCACATGCAAAAAAGGGCCATCGACTAACAATAGGCTTGATTAGCTCTATTCATAGAGGGTCATGTGTCCCATCACCWGACTTATTGGTTTGGATGCTGTGGTTCTTAGGTGTCGTGTCATGTGTATGTAGTTAATGCAAGCGGGGCTCAATGTCCCCTTGTTTTTGTCTTTTTTTCCCTCTTTATGTTGGTATCATTGGGGTCCTGATTCACACATTTTGCTCACAGGGGGCAGAGTCATACGTACAATAACAGCGTTGTAGGAGGAGGACAACTGGACACGAAGGCCTCCACCTCTGTTTAATGATGGACGGTTTTCCTTCACAAAGATGGCTTCTTTTACTCCTCTCTGAAACCAACGTTCCTCTCTATCAAGGATGAGAACATCTTCATCCCTGAAAGAGTGACCGCTGGCCTGAGAGATCAGTTGAGAGGTGACTTCAGAAAAAGTTTCAAAAATCAGTCTGATAAAGAATGTAGAGGTTTTATCAAGACAAAGTTATATTACTATAATCCAAGGTATTATGTTTAGAAAACATTTAGATTTTTTTCTTTGATAATATTTCTTTGAATATGGTCGCAGTGTAGTTTCACCAAAAAGACAAGTTGTCTCAATCAGAGGAAGAGGAGGGACAGGCTGTGGTACATTTCATTAAATTAATCAGATTATATTGTTGATCATTAAATGACACCTCTAACTAGGGCTGCCACGATTTAAAATAATCGATGACTAATTTAATAATCGATTAATCGTTTTCTTTTTTCTTTTTGTTCTAT